GCTGTCCGCGCTCACTCAATCAGAGGCACCTTGCACTTGTATTTCCTTCCTCATACAACGCTGGCCCCGCACATCGGTCCGGCTAGACGCCGCTTACACCACAGATCACCGTAGGATGGCCAGCGTACCGAGCAACGGGTGAGTCCAGGGCCCTTCCCTACTTAGCTCGCCGTAGCCAGCCCCCGCTCCTACAGGTTCTCGCTGGACTCGCTCCCGCCAAGAATCAACCACGCCGTGCGTTCTTCCTACTCGCCTCCGCCCTTCGACGTGCCGCTCTCGTGCAGTCCTACTGTCAGCTAACTCGATCTCTACTAACCCCCTTCGCCACTAACATTTGCTACTAATTCTAACTCCAGCGCCTCGGTCGCCTACCCCCAAACCCTCGTTTAACAACTCCCTCGGCCCGTTCCTATCAAGGAATGGGTGAAATCTTCATTTTCCCGCCTTGTTCCAACCACCATCCCCGTCGCCCCTCGCAAGCTCTTCTCTTTCTCGCCCCTCTCCTCATAATCTTCTGCCCGATCTGGCTTCAGATTCGGTGTCGCCCACCGTCGGAACCTCCAGCTTGCACCCCCTCTCTTGCTCTGGTCCCTTTTGAAACGGTCGGGGAGCGCCTTACTCCTCGCGCCACATTCGTACCCACCCTATCTTCTTCACCGCCTCCGGCTCCGAATGCACCCGGCCCGACCCTCCGTCTCAGTTCGTTCGCTCATTTCAACTACCTCCGTCGCCCTTTCGTCGCCTGTCTCATCGCCCGCAGCTCGCCCCTTTCTCTTCACAACCCGTCACCTCGCCTTCGCTATTGCCTACTTCGCTCCGCTCTCCCTCTCACCAACGCCACTTCCCGTTGGTGCGCCCGGAGTGTGTCGCGACGAAGCCGAGCTACGCGAACAGAGTGACAGCCCCGGGGTCCGAGTCATCCCGCCGTTTATGTATGCCCCCCCACACGCTGGCCAGCCAATCTTCCCTACCCCGAAGGACTTTGCGCCGGCCGGTCCTCGGTTGCTGGCGCAACAGGCAGCGGTCGGGCGAGTCTGACCGCGGGGCAACCTGTTCCGCCCTTCGCTCATTTTTTCTCATCCGTACCCGGTGCCACCTGCGCCCGGGTCCGTTCCGGTTTTCTGTGCCCCATCCCTGCACAGTGACTGACAAATCCTCCCCCCCCCTTTTTTGCCTGTCGCACTCCCCTAACCCGGTTCGCGTCCGGGTTCATTACCGGACCTCTTTCATATGCCACACTTATGTAGAGGCCATGCGGATCCTCCCCGGTGTATCGGATCCTCCTCAGAAGGTCCCTCCCGCGGCAATACCCCCGCTACCCTACTACTCCCGCGTGAACCCGGCCTCCTTTTGGGGGTTATGCGTTTCAGCCTTACGCTGCGGCCAAACTAATCCTCCCTGTATCATTCCGATTTCAACGGATGCCCCCCGCCTGACACTTCAATGTTCACGCGGCCAAAGCCGCCTTGCCACTGCGCACGCAACTAGTCCGCGCTTCGGACCTTATGAGGGTCGGCCTTACGCTGGGGCCATGCAAATCTTCTCTCCATTACCCCACCCTTCGCAGGTCTCCCAGTTCCTCCGCCTGTTCCAACCCCGTCCCCCGTCCAGGTTCGTCCCCGGCCTCTATACTGTTGGCCCCGCAGATCTTTCATATACCGATCCGATCTCTCGGGCACCGGAGGACTTTGCCGCATCAACACGTTCGGGCTTCCACGCGCCTTCATGCCACTCCTCTCTACGGCCTCCTTCGCATGGACCTAGCCCTTTCTCGAGGCCGGATTTAGACCGCACCCACCTTATTTCCCCGCTTGGTCATAGGTCCTGGGGCAACCCTACGAGCCCAAACAACCCCTCGTTTGCATGTACCCAGCCTATCTAGCGGTCGGGGTCATTCTCTGTTTGTGGGTGCTACCCCTTAGCGCAGTTATCTTGCGAATCTACCGATTCGATTTTGACGCCGCCCAGGATAGTGCCCGCGGCTCCTCGCTGCCGGAGCAGCTCCAAACACCGGTCCCCTGCTGGATCCAGCCCCTCGTCCTTACTCCCTCACGCGCACCTGGCTCGACTAGCGTCCCAGGTCCACTCACGGGGTCTGCCTCCGTCACCCTTACCTGGCCAACCATGCAGACCCCCCTCGTGTTGCCCTGGCGTTAATGAGTGCCTTGGGGAGACCTGACTACAGCAGGCGTCCCCCCCCCCTTTCCTTTTGGCAGCCCTCAGTCCTAGTCTCAATGGGGTTTAAGTACCCTCAGAAATAAAGACGAAAAAGCAAGGGTGGGGGATCGTTTGAAGGGGGGAGCGAGCCGCAGGCGCTGCCAAAGCTCCCGTAGCCTCGCGGCGCTGGTCCGTGGTAGGGCTCCCTCAAACACGAAAAGAAAAAGGGGGATAGTCCCGTGGGGTCCTCGACCCCTTTTCTTCTCACCGCTCCATTGCTCCTGCGCCGCCTTCCGCCGAACTCGAACCTCGTACCTCCGCCATGCAACCCCAATGCCGCAACCTATAGGGCTGAGCCCAAGCCTGTAACCAGCAGGCGCGGTTTCCTACATAAAGTGGTGCCGCCCGGCGTTCCATGCCAAAATACCGCCCCGGCCGCTCTCCCCTCCTCAACCGTGCGCGCCACCGCCGAATACCTGCACCGTCTTGCACGCGTCGCGTCGCGGCCACCATCCACTCCTTCTCACATGTCGGGCCCACCGCCGGCCGAGCGCAATAAATGGAAGCGGACCTTTTAACCCTTTATTTAATCAATAACAAAAACAAGCCTGATGGTTATGCCGGTGTCGCGACTAATCTTAAAACAGAAAGAATCACACGCGCGCCTTAAACTTGCGCGCCCACGTACCCTCTACCGAGACAAGGCAGACCCTTGCCTACGTGCGGGCGACCCTTACATTTTTCCGCACGGGCACTCAAGATCCAGGTTAACCAAACCTTTCTGTCACTTGCAAAAACCAGGGCGGATACCCTTGTAAGGGTATTCGCGCCGACAGCTTACCGGACCATATTAAGCGACGTCCCCGTCGCGTCGCCAGATCAAAAAGCTATAGACTCCCTCGCATTTCAAATGCTGACGAGATCAGAACCAATCCGATTAGCCGACAGACTAAGGGTCGAGGCCTCCATCAAACCGTGCGAACACAACTATATGCTGCCAGGGTTTCAACCTGGGTCTCCATTGTCCTGACACCAGGATGCCGGTGTATTACGCGTCAATACCACAGCATAAGTTCCAGAGGCCCTCAAACCATCCTCTTCCCCTCCATCGTAGACAACCGCCGACTTCTCGTTGGGTGTCCAAGTTAGCCTCTTTCTCGTAGGCAGAGCCATAACTAGGGACGCGGGCTTCGAATGAGACCTATGAAGGCATTCTTTGCCTTCTTCAACAAATTCCTCATAGTCAAACAAAATACACACATATAAGTTTGTAGCCTCTCTCGGGCTTTTTTGCAGTCTAGTACAGAAATGCCAGGTCCCCATCTGGGCCCACCGTAGCCTGGCTGATCGGGCCAGGTCTACAACCCACCACATTGTTACCTTAGTGGCGGTACCCTCCCGCTGGTTATACAACGACAGGTATATCCCTGATAATCAATCAATCAGGGTCTCCAAAGAACTCGACTCTTATCCCGCGAAGTAATTTCCCTGGGGCGGGCAACTCCCCTTAAACTCTTACCTTGCGGGCCCGCAGCCAGGTTGTGCCRGCTAGCAGCCATCCACTAGGGGTTGCGCCCAGGTGGCACTAAACTTTACCGTTAGCTTGGCATTCCTCAAATATGTCTCAGAATTAGCACAGGTGGCCCGGCGGGGCATCAAAAACAATTCACAGCCGCTGCGAGACCACGCAAGGGTCTGAAGGCATTTACCGGCCCTCCAATAATAGGCACGGCATCCTTCGCTCAGTCACAAACAATCTCCCCGTCGGATCCACAAGGTCGCGGCTCCTGACTTGATTAGAGCCAGCCATCTCCCACCCTGAGGCATCTCTCGCCCTTCTCAAACATTTCAAGCAAACATGGTCCCCTCTCGTCAGACTTTATCAGCACAGGCAATGCTTTCCACACCATTCAATTTTTACCCACCCTTACTCGATGAAGGATGTCCTTCACAAAGATTTCCTGGCCATCCCCTTTTTGTATGGGATGACTCCTCACACGACGTCTTCCAAAACCATGAAGGGGTCTCCACACAATATAATTCCCACCTCCCAGAATCGTGAAGGGGGTCTTAATCATCAAACAACTTCAAACTGAGGGGCCACCTTCTGGGTCCCTATACGATTTGGGCAACGATGTTTAGTATGACCGAACACGCAAATTCCTTGATCAATCAATCCTGTAGGATTCTCACAGTTTTCGCAAACAGGATGCACTTCCCCTCCTTATACTCTGTCTTTTCGTCCGCCTGCAGCAGACCGCACGAGTATACCGGAGGGTAGACAACTTTACAAGTTACACAATCATGCCCATGAGATGTATCCTGTACATCTCTCACACAAAGCTAAACATTCATCGAGATAAATCCACACATGTGAGAGTGAATGTGATCGTCACAAGACAAGTCCCATAGGATCTCAACTCATAGTACACTCAGGGAGTAGAATGCCTCCCTCAACAATCGAATACAAGCACTCAACTCAATGCCCCGCCTGTCTGAGTAGGACTCATAACCCCATTGTACACTCACCAAATACACTCGGGAACATAGGCTCCACCTAACACCCACAGAATACCCAGCCCCTGTCCCCTCTTGCTGGGAAAACTCACATCCCGAGTGCTATAAACTCCCAAATCCCATTCAGAGCAGCAATAGCTTCTGAATCACAAAACCAAATGTAACTAAATGGTCTCATATATCGCACAACTGAGTCCTACCCCTGGGTCGTAGCCCACGAAGAAACTCAAAAGGAAAGAAGCGAACAAAAGTCAAACATATATGTACAATCAGATAGAAACTCATCCTACCACTCCTACGCACACACACATCTAGGTTCCGCTCACCTGACTCAAGACATGTACACCCCTAACCCCGCCCTGTGTGTGTCAAGGATCCCTCGTCCTATCAATATATAGACAGACCGATCCCTACTTACACAATTCCTCCTGGTTCTGCCTATACAACTGAGCCCTGCCCCCATCTAGTGCTCGCCCCACTATCCTGCCCTGTCTGTCATAGTACTTGCCTTTGACTTCCGCAACTCGCCCCTCGGCCGTATCCTCAAGGAGCTTTGGACAATCCACGGCTCTATGCCCTCCCTCCTTGCACCAAAAACATGAGGTATCGTGCCACCTGGCAACCTTCTTCTTTTTCCCCCGCGAACTCGATGCCGAAGGCGTCCCCACGGTCTCAGTAGTCACCTCAGGATCCGAGGGCAACCCCACATGGCCCTGAGGTCCAGGCTCCATAACCTCAGCACCCTCACCCCCTCGTGCAGCCGCACTCCCTGACCTGCGCTCTGGCGTATCCAACTCTCGGGGTCCCTCCTCATGCGCCCTCTCTGTCATCATCGCCTCATCCCTACATACTCCTGACGGTTGAGAGCCCCCCATAGCGGCGGGCTCACTCATGACCTCCTGCTGCTGTTGCCGTCGCGAGTCAGGTCCTCCTGAGTCGGCCCCCGTGGCCCAGGAGCCCAGCTCTGCCCTCAACTCCCCCAACCTCGGGGCATGCTCTGGAGCGTCGAGTCTCTGAGGCCTCTCCTGTGGAGTGCCTATCCCCATGGCTGCCGCCAGCTCATGCAAGCGCGAACCTCTCCTCTCCGTGGACATAGCCATAAGCGACTCCTGCGCACCACCTTCCTCCTCAACTGCATCCAAGGGCGCCTCCTCCATTGGCTCGGCTTGTCGAGGGACCTCCACCGCTGCTCCCTGACCCGGCGAGGCCTGCATCCCACGGCCCTGGCTATCAGCACCGGCTGGCCCTACCTGGCTAGCCTCCCAGGCTGCTGAGACCCTATCCACAGCGGCCGTCATCTTCCCAAATCTCCTCTCCCACTCAACCTCTCTGGCCTTGCTCCTCACCCGGCAAGCTGAGTAGTCAGGTGCTCTACCTCCAACTCCTCAACCCTGAGTTCATTGCTGAGCAGATTATACCACTGGAAAGATGTGACCACCGTCTCGCATACCCTTCGATCCATGCGCTCAATCGCCTGCCTGGTCGCGGAGAACCTCAAGTCCCCCATCTCTCTCAACTCACTCGTCTCCCCGCCCGCCTGTCCTGCCTCTCGTGACCTCTGGCGGGCCACATTCCTCTGGCTCTCATACCTAGCCCATAACTCGTCGATCCTCTACTCACTTCTTGGGCTCGACCGGCGGTGTCGGCTCTATCCCCGCCGGCTCCATCTCAGCCTGTCTTGCGTATATCTCGTCCAGGCGGACCCGCACTCGGGCGGACTTCTCTTCGCAGGTCTCCCTTGGGGTTCCTCCCATTCGCGGCCCCTGGTCTCCTGGAGTCGACGCCTTCGCCTCCATCCCTTTGCTCGCGCTCGGCACTACTGGCGGTAACTCTGCTGAAACGGGCTCCTCGATGTCCGGGCTCTTGGTCGCCGGTGTGGCCGAGGGCAAGTCAAGGGGCGCCTCCATCCTTGCTCTCTCACACACCCTAGTTCCCCGCCTTTGCCTCCTGCTCAGGTATAGTGGTGGCCTCAGGGGGAAACTCCGGGATCTCCTCGCTGCCTGGCTCAGGAATCCCCTCTGGCCATGAACGCTGTGCTGGCTCTGGAGCCGGGGAGCATGGAGGGGTATCGTCCCCAACCATGATCACCTCTCTCCCCCGAGGTCATACCGGATCTGGCCGCTCGGCTGCCATCTCAAGGTCTTGCGGCTCCTCTCGGTCTCGCATGCCTGTCTCCATCTCAGGGTCAAGGGGCTCCTCCAATGGCACGTAGCACGCCGGCTCAACTGAGCCCTCTCCCAGCCGTGAGGCCTCCCATTGGGATACATCGAGATGCGTCGCCAAGCTTCGGAACGGCGTCTCTCTTGGTATGTCCAACTCCTGCGTTGATGGCAATGGCGAGGGCAGCCTCAACTCCTCGCTCGTAATCTGCCGAAACTCAACCGCCCGGAGGCCACAAGTAGGGAACAACCCCCTTGCCAATGCGGGCTCTACGGGCTCATCCTCCCGCTGGGTCGGGGCTCCCCTCCCCTCTTTGGCCAGCCCCGCCTCTCCCGGTGTCGGTGCCCTTGGCCTCTTGCTTCGCCGCCGCCTCTCAACTCTGGGCTCGTGCCTCTCCTGCTGTGGCCGTCCGAACGCCCTCCTAAGCTAGGCCTGACAGTCCTCCCAGTCTCGAGCCCTCTCCTGAATCTGCTTGACCGCCTGCTTCTCTGCCTGCCTCGTCCAGATAAGTAGGGCCTGCACCCATTCCCCCTGCGCAACCCCCAGACTCAACATGTAGTGCTCATATACAGGGATGAACTCATCTGCGTTCCCTTCCTATAATCGAATGGGCATGCCATCACGCCCCATAGGGGAAGCTCTCAGCCTCTGCATCCCGGCCTCCACGTCTGGCCAAGTCAGGGCCTCCTCACATATCTGAGCGACAGGCTCCTCGAACCGCCCTATGCCCCTCAAGTGGTGAACCCTCTCCGCCACTGACCACCCTCTCTGTGCCGCATGGTCCTGATATACGTCCAAGAAGAGCTCAATGTTGTCGTCATCAAACTCAAGCGTAGGCTCCCTCCTATGCGGCTCGTGCTGCTCGCCCCTTTCCTCTATCCTCCGGGGCCCCTGGCGTGGCCGTGTGTCCCTCCCGCCCCTCTGCATGACTGCCTTCGAAAAGTCATACTTGCACAACAGGCGAGAGACAACAAGCATGCACACAGCGGGGTCAGCAACCGAGCCATCGGCCTAGGGAAATCCCACATACACTTCACACCCATCCACCCCAATCACCCACCTATCTAGCCGTCCGACCTGGGTAATACCTAGGGAAAACTCTATCCATAACGAGGTCTCATGGCCCCTTACCTATTCCCTGGCCACAAACTTCTTCAGCCTTGTCCGTGATACCCAGTCCTGCCATCCTGCCCCGTCCAGCTCCTCAATTTGGTAGGTCCCAAACTCGCCACACCGCACGATGCTATAGGGTCCCAGCCACCGTTTGGCGAGTTTCCTGGACCACTGCTTTTCCAGCGAGGAGTCATACAGCAGCACCACATCCCCAACCTTCAGTGGATCCTTCCTTATTCGGGCCATCTGGTCCCACCTCATCTTGTCTTCCATGCGACTTCTCTCCACCTGACCAGCGGCCTCTCGTAGCCTTTTTTCAGCGGCCCCCACCTACCGTGCTCGTATATCGAGCAGCTCCTCAAAGGACAGGTCCACTCCCAGATCCTGGCGCCTCCACGTTTTCATGAAGCTTTCTATGGGAAAGGTGGCACGCCTTCCGTACCATAGCGTGGCCGGCGCATACTTGGAAGTCCTTTTCACTGTAACATTTTCCACGAAGAATGTTGCTCTCAGGAATTTCGGCCACTGGTTAGGCTTTCCTTCAGTCCATTTGGCCAGGAGATTCGTGATGGTACTATGCCCCCTCTCCACAGGCGCGTTTGCCTGGGGGTACGCGGCAGTAGTGTAATTTGCTACCACGCTGTATCCCGCAAGCAAGGTCCGCACCTCGTTACAAGTAAACTCCGACCCCCGGTCCATCACAAACTTTCTGACAAATGGATAGCGCAAGTAGTACTCTTCGATGCACCTTGCTAAAACTGGGCCAGTTTTTGTGCGGATAGCCCGATCGTCTACAAACCCAGTAAGGTTGTCCCGTGCATCGAAGATATAGTTACTTCCATCCTCCCCAAGTGGCATGAACAATAGGTCCAGGTGTACAACTGCCCCCACTTCCCTTTCCAACCTGGGGTGTAGAGGCTCCCCAAGCCTTTGCGCCGACCTCTGCTGGCAAGGCACACAGGACTGGCAGTACTTGATGACCGTAGTCAGCATTCCATCCCAATGGTATAACTCACTTATCTTCGGGCACGTGGCACTAACCCCTCTGTGCCCCCCTGCTATACCATCGTGCAAGGCTGCTATGACATCGATTTGCCAGTTCCTTTCACATACGACCCTCTTGGGGTTTCTAACTTGTCGCTTTATGAACAGATGACCATCTCTTACTACGTAGAGATGCCTCATCTTCTGGGCTTTGGCACTTGCGTCCCTATCTCTTATTTCGCACGACAGGAGTAACCCCAAATTCAAGATAAATTCCGTCATACTCCTCAACACGGAAGGCCTCCCTAATCTCTCCCTCTTCGAACTCGTCGTCCTGGCTTTCAGGAATGAGAAGTTCGCCCTCTTCGGAGCTGACTGCGCTCCTCTGGTCAAATTTCCCTCGCAGGAGCGTGTTGGTGAGCAAGTACATCCCTCCCATTAGTTGCTCATGCTCCTCTACTTGGGTCGGGCCTTCCTCTATCGTCCTTACCTCCTCCGTTAGACTATGTGTTCCTGCCAACGCCAATCTCATCATCCAACCAACATCCCTACTCCCCCACGGATCTTCTTCCTGGAAGGGTTTGAGGACCAACTCCTCCTTCTGCTCGTACCCCCTTGGTGCTAGCCATATAGGATGCGTGACACAACTAGGCACCCTCAGCGACCACTCATTTATGTGGAGGGGACATCCTCCTCCTGATCCAAGAACCTGTCAACTGGTGTGGTGTCCCCAATTGAGTCTTGACCCGCCCCATCCCAGTTGATACGGCTCAGCCCATCTGCCCTGTTCTTGTCCCCGGGAATCCTCTCCAACTCAAAGTTAAACATCCAAATGTAGGTCAACCACCTCGCGATGGTTGGGTCAGATGGAGTATAACTTTTCAGGGAGCACGCAAGCGCAGTAGGGTCCACCCTCAAAATGAGTCTCCTGCCAAAGATGTAATTACGGAAGGTCCTTAGGCAATGGAGCACCGCCAACGTTTCTTTCTTGAATCAGGACTCCTCCTAAGGCAGTTGGCCCAGCGTTCGTCTCGACAAC